TTTCACCGTCTATATAAACCTTGGTTCGGCTCCGGCGACATCGTCGGGATATTGGTAGTGATTCACGGTGGTTATGGACACTCTCCGATTCGAGTTAAGCTCGGCCTGCTTCACTTCCGCTGTCGCCGCCCCTTCTTTACACAGTCACTCACGGCATTTCTTCTCCTCACTGCAACTCGGCCGAGTCGGCTCATCATCTCCTGCGATCACATCGGTCGCGAGGACGACGGAGAATGAAATCTGCACGGCGGACGAACTTCACTACGTTCCTGTTCCCAACTCCGATTGGCGCGTCGCTCTCTGGCGATATCTTCCATCCCAAAAGGTACCGATATAGACATGTATCATACGTATAGGTGTATTTGTATACGTATTAATCTATTATCATGTTTATACACTTACAGGCACCAAAGAGGAACCATCCTCTGCTTTTATTGTCTGGGATTGGGACCAATGCTGTTACATACGATCTTTCCCCTAAGGTGATTTTGATTAGGGTTTAGTTATTTTTAGGCAAGATCTTATTGTGTACAAGTATATTGAATGGATTCTTGTAACACAAGTTTTGTATTTGGAAGCTAAACGTTTTATTTTGTTTCTGTGGATATTCATTTTTGTAGTGTTCTTTTGCAAGATTCATGTCTGGATCAGGATTTGATACATGGATTCTTGAGCTTCGTGGAGCCGGGTTGAGTTCTTTAAGTGTCGATACAAATCTTGGTAAAGGCATGATGATTTTCATATGGTAATGTTTGGTTGTGTAGATGTTATTTAACTTTCTGATAAATCCTGTTTGTTGGCCAAAAGAGAAACCGGGAGGGACGTTATCCACCTATAGCCAGCAGCGGATAGTCTCGAATCTATTGGAGAATTTCATAAGTGTATCTGAAAGGCTGGAAAATGTTCTTGATGGAGGTTGGTTGATTCATACTACTGTCGATTTAGTTTTGTTCTGCTAAGACCAGAGAAGAGAATCTTTGTCCAGTTACTGAGAAAGAACCTGCAGGTTCCAAAATCCTTGGGATGCAAGACCGTCTATCGAAGAGAGCAGGAGATTTCAAGCAGCGGCTTGAACTTATCCCTCATTACAATTGGGATTTTGATAACTATCTAGAAGAAGATGTTCTTTCTGCGGTGAGGTGACACCTCTTGTTTTTTTCTTCTGTAGAATTGAACAAAAAAAAAAACATGAATTTGACATTCTGTTGGAGTTATGTCTAATTATTATACGAAATGTGGTCTCAGATGAACTATGTAAGGACTCAAACCAAGTCAAAAGATGGAAAGTTGCTCGCAGTTGGTCACTCAATGGGTGGTATATTGTTATATGCCTTGCTCTCAAGATGTGGTAAGCTCTCTTATGCATCATATAGCCTGATGATTTCTCTTAAAATGTTATGCATTATCAGATTCTGGCTGAATCATGTTTCTTCACTAGGCTTTAAAGGAATGGATTCAGGTTTGGCTGCTGTCACCACTCTTGCATCGACATTTGACTATTCATCCTCAGGAACACTCCTCAAGTACCTATTACCCATGGCAAGTACTCGAGAACCAGTCACCACACTGTGTCACTCTCTAAAGAGGGAAATATGACTGAGAAAGTTATCTTAAATGTCATTCTGTTTCAGAAAGAGCCAGCACAAGCTATTAACCTGCCTATCATGCCGATTGACACAATGCTCGCTATGGTTCACCCTCTCATGTGTCGTCCTCCATATGCTTTGTCTTGGTTAACTGCTAATATCTCTGCTCCTCAAATGATGGACCCTGAAGTGATTGAGAAGCTTGTTTTGAACAGCTTAAGTACAAATTTCTTAACATTGTCTCAAACTTCTGCACATATTTAATACTAGGCATATTCGCGATAACCATGACGTTTTTCCTGGAAATAAAACAGGCACAGTACCAGTTAAGCTTCTCTTGCAGCTAACAACAGCTGTGGACCACGGTGGGCTGCGTGATAGAACCGGTACTTTCTGTTACAAGGATCATATCAGCAAATCCAATGTGCCTATCTTAGCTCTTGCAGGGGACTGGGACATAATCTGCCCTCCTGATGCTGTATACGGTAGTATTCTACAACATATTTTTACCGCAAATTCAAGATTTCCTTCACTTGGTGTAATCAATAACCAGTGTGCTATTATGGTGTTGAACTGATGAGCAGATACTGTAAAGCTGATTCCAGAACATCTAGCTACTTTCAAAGTTTTAGGGTCACCCGGAGGTCCACATTATGGCCACCAGGATCTAATCTCTGGTCGATCGGTATGTATGATCAATATCTCTTCCTTCATTGTTACAAGTTATATCGGTTTTGTATTCACCATTTCATTCTCCATACAGGCTCCGAACGAAGTATATCCTCTGATTACTCGATTTCTTCAACAACATGATGAGATTTAAGATCAACGAGAGTTCAAATGGATTTTGGTTCTTGTTTCTGTACATAAAACATTCCATACATACTCTTATAAGTATACAAATCTTCACACAGTTAGGAGCTTATTATACTTCCAACTCACAAGCACTGTAGTAGAAATTAAACTCAAATGATACCTTTCAAATTGATCTCGTGTATGTGTAGATTACACTACAGATTCACGATGTTACTTGCACGTAACAATCTCATCATTTTCATGTGACTAATATAAATACTAGATCTACCTAACATTTTTGTAGTCGACGACCTAATTATCACCAACAAAAGATGAACAAACCCACACGCAATTGTGGGGTTCACAATGTCTCCCAGACTTTTCCATAGGTAATACAAAGGTCTCAACAGTTTGTTTCTCAGAAAAATAGCAATCATGAATAAAAAGCCAAAAAAAGAATCTTAACATAAAATAGTGATTTGGTTTCAATCCCGAAATCAAGAATCACATCACAGGAAGAGATAATATCTATATCTAAGACTTATCATGCGGCATCGTTTTACAGACGGGACAAGAGTTCTTCCTCACTAGCCATTGTTTCACACAATGGATATGGAACCTGTGCCCACAAGGTAATTTCCCTACCTCGTCCTTTGCCTCATACTCGTCCTGTCAATAGACAAAACATGAACATTCTTTAAGAACAACTCTGTTTTCTCACCAATCTAAACATGAGTTTCCACAAATAATTCCTTGAGCAATGAAGCCAAATCTGGACTTACTTGACAGATGATGCACTTTCTATCTGCAACTGGTGCATCTAAACGGAATGGTTTAACTTTCTGGAGACAGCTTTTGATCTGTTTTTCATTTAGTCCAGTGTTCACATGACCAATTCTTTCACCAAGCTCCAAAAGTTGCTGTTTTTAAACAACAAAACAAACACAACACTCAAGAACCTAGAGACACTGAGGCTCAAGTGGTGGAATTGCTCGAAAGGCACCTACCTCGTATGTCATGTTATCAACATTGAGCCTCATGTCATGGAATTGATCGAATGAGCTTAATACTCCTCCCATCACAAAACCATTCTGCATCATCATCATCTGCAATGAAAATATACATATTGGCACAAGCTCCATATGAAACTTAAGTCAAAAGCAACACTCTACCTCAGCGAGTCCATCAGGGTAAGACTGTCTTAGATGACGATGATATCTATCAGTCTGTTCAGACTGCGATGTCAAAAAAGCCGAATCAGAATCAAAGTAAGGATTAGATTCTTGATTGAGAGATCGTCTTGGAAGAAGAGAAGAACCCTGCATTGTAACAGTTGAGTTAAACAACAAAAAAAAATCCAAACCTCATATTGAAACTACTACAAAACCTTGATCAGCTCAATCAAAAGAGTCAGAAGTTAAATCCCAAACAAGAAACAGTGTTAAAAACCTTACGTTACTCCACAGAAACTTGAGATATAATATCACTTACCAGAGTAGACCAGTTAAATGAAGAATGAATAACGAAGTTCTATATATATTATCAAAGAACAAAGCCTAATTTTGCTACAGATAAGAAAAAGACGATAAACCTAAATCAAAACGAAAAAACCCTAATGCTAACTAATAGATAGAGGCAAATCAAATATTCTTAAGGATATTATAAACTAACATATTTACAACTAAATTAAACATTTAAGCAAATTTTCAATATTTCTTTTAGATATTCAAAACCAAAAATCAAATTAACACAGAGACACGCAACGAATAATAAAAATGGAAACTTTATGAAACCAGAAAAATGTAAATGTACCTCTCTCTGATTATTACTGCTACTATTGGTTTTATCTCCATCGATTTTTCGTCTCACCGGAATATTCCTTCTCGGATGATCTGACACGACGGTGTCGCCGACGACAGCATCCGTTGAAAACCCAACTCCAGGTCCACACCAAACATCAGGAATCGCTGCGCAAGCGACGCTACTACTACTAGCTTCGCTCAAGATCTTAATCGAACCACCATTGTAGCTACTACTACCTTTGTTCTTGTTCTTCTTCTTCGTCTTCTTAATTTTGAAATTGCTCGCATCCCAATCCGCGGAGCAGCGAATCACCGCCGGGACTGAAACTTGCTGAGATGCGGAGGTTGTGCAGCCCAAGCCACGAAACGACGCCGTTTGGGGTTTCTTCTTTATGGTTTCTGGCAAGAGGAAGAAGGAAGACATGGCGGATTTAGAGACGCGGCTAGGTTTGGGGAATAGAGGTTCGTCGGCGGTGGAAATGGGTGGGAGATTTCGATGATTCCTAGGTCGTTGGAGTCTGATGTGTTGGCCGATTGTTGTTGAAGAAGATGAAGAAGGCTCCGCAGAAACTGGCATTGTCTTCTTCTTCTCTGTGAGAGAGAGAAAAAAGAGAGAGAGATAGAGAGATAATGGAGACACAGGGCGCGGAAGAAGGTTAGTGAAAGGGCTTTCTTAAGTTGGATTAGTGAAACTAATTTAAGTAATTAGTGCGTTAGCTAATCAAAATCCACTTTCTAGTTTGTGTTTGAACTTTGAAGTCTACAAGTAGGCCTGGGCGTTCGGTTAACCATTCGGTTTCGGTTCGGTTACGTTCGGTTTCGGTTAGTTTGGATATGGTAATAAGAAAACCATTCGGATATCTGAAGATCTTCGGTTCGGTTCGGTTTGGATATCTTTCTGTTCGGTTCGGTTCGGTTATTAAATCGGTTAACCAAAAATTAACCGAAACCGGAATAACCGACTAAAAACCGAAATAACCAAAAATTGACCAATAACCGGCATAGAACTCAAGTAAAAAAACAGACGGATTCACAATTTACAAAGATGCAAATATGGTCCATACTTTCCAGAATGTTAAAACACCTGATTCACAACTTACATAATAAAAAGAAGAACATACTAGTTCTAACTAGTCAAGCAAAAGAGATAAGAGAAAAGTGTCAAAGCACATTAAGCCGAGGCATTAGTAGAAAAAGTGTCAAACCACACATTAAGCCGAGATAAGAGAAAAAGTGTCAAAACTCATTGAGGCATTTCATCAAACACTTGATAGACCAAAATTGATAAAATCATAAAATCATCATCCCAAAGATTAAAACCAAAAGAACATATTTAATAGTCACAAAGTTGCACAAAAACAAGACAAAACAAACAGATCTTTAACATAAACTTAGTGCTAAGAACTACAAAGAGCTAAACAACTTATGTGAAATGACAAAGACAGAATAAATCATAAATCCATGGCTAATTAAGAGAGAAAATTCAGAGAAAGAGAGGATTCAAAGCTTTACCTTCGAAGATGACTGAGGCGAAGATTGATATGGAGTTGATGTCTCCAGCTTTAGCTATTTATAATACTAGGGCTACTGTCTTAAAGTCGAAGTCGGGAAAGGAAAACCAAACGTCCTCTATACATATATGATTGAAGTCGGAAAACCCAAACGTCCTCTATACATATATATATATATATATATATATCAAATATATGTATACATATGCTTCGGTTATCTTTTGGTTATCGGTTACTAACCGAAACCGAACTTTGAGACATATAATATCCAACCGATTATTTTAAGCTATCCAAATCCGAACCGAACCATGTTTTTCGGTTCGGTTCGGTTCGGTTAATCGGTTAGCGGTTTTTTTGCCCAGGCCTATCTACAAGTAACTAAATTAGATATTTTTCTTTTTCACATGTCACAGACTCACATGACTATGTGTGGTTTATACTTTACTTTAGAGTTTTAGCACTGTTGCTATGTTTAAAAATTTGAGGTAAGTGAGGGTAAAATAGGTATTTGGCTATTCACTCAGTAGATTCTCACCAGTCTTTGTAAGAGGTGGACCCCTCTGTTTTTTCTTACTTCCTATCAAAGTATCAAGATTTGACCCGATTTGAATAATTCTTTTTTTTTCTTTTGTTTTGGGTTCACTTTTGTTCAGCAACGAAGATAGATTTGCGGAAATTTTATTGTCTTTTGCTTGTATAATAAATAGACAAGAAACATTAGAGGATCACAACTCACAAGTCATAACAACAAGTTAGTATATTTTTGTTTATACTGCCACAAAATTGTACTATATCTGTATATTTTATACATAGCCAAACACAAGTATCCAAAGAATATTGGTCCGGATTTGCTGGATCGAGATTAGAGGGATAATAAAAGTGATAAATCGTCGAGAGTGTTTGTGTTTGGTGCGTCACATAAGTGATTATAGTCCAAACCAGAGTCTGAACAAAAAAATTTCTCAACTCTACGTCAAATTTTATGATTTTTTTCTTTCCAGATTTAGTTTACTTGGTGGTACTTAAAAAAGAAAAACTAACATTAGAGTAAAATCATACTCCGAAATATATATATCATTGAGCGAAAATTGAAGTTTGTGCTAGATTGGGCTGGGCCTGAATGGGCTGTTCCATCAACGACGATGAAAACGGACAGGTCAATTCGGGCCGATCCGGTCTGATCAATTATGAAAACCAGAAACGAAGAAGAGCGGTTAAAGTCTGTTAACAGATTAAGAACTTATGGGTCTTGACTCAAACCCCTAATTCTCTGATAAACCCTAGTCTTGAGGCAAATCCCATGAGACGATTTCTTCAAAGAGTTCCCACTTTGTTGGCTCGAAATTTCCTTCACTCGCCCGCCAATTTCCGTCATTCGAACATCAACCCTCGTGTTGTTGTTGTTCCTCTCTTCGAACGAGCTATTTCCCGATTCGTCTTCTTCTCTTCCGAGTCGGACTCGGCGCGTGGTTTCAAAAACGACGAGGTTCTTTCTAAAGAAGGTGACATTTCTTGAATTCAACTTCTTTGGTTTGTTCTGATGAAAATGTATAATTTTGACTTTTGAATGAAAAATGAAGAGAATTTTGCAATGACGGAGTTAGCTGATTTGTGATTCAATAAGCGCATAAATTTTCATGTGTATATTCAAAATTGCTTATAATATATTGTATGTTGCTTTTTCAGAGCTGAAAAAGAGAATTCAAAGCTTTTTGGATGATGGAGATGAAGATTCAATTCCTGACTTATTTGAGGCAATGATGATTAGGAAGTTATCAGGGAAGCACGATGATAGCGACGATGAGGTGATGGAGGAGGTACGTAAGTATCCAGTTAACGATGCACATAAGGTCGATGAAACTGACTCTGATATCGAGAGTGATGGCCATGGTGATTCGTCTGATTCAGATATCGAGACTGATGGCCTGAGAGATGGTGATTCGTCTGATTCAGATATAGAGAGTGACGGCCTTGGTTTGAGAGATTGTGATTCGTCTGATTCCGATATAGAGTTTGATGGCCTGAGAGATGTTGGCTTGTCTGATGTCAATATCAAGATTGATGATGGCCTGAAAGCTAATCGCTCGTCTTATTCTGACTCTGAAAGTGATTAACATGGTAAGTTTTCGATTTCCGGTCTCTTATTTTTGGTCACATTTTGCAATTTCTAGTTGTATAACTTGATTAAAGAGATATACATATTATTTAGTATACGAGAGATTTTCTAACACGGTGCCTGTTTTGTGTTTTCATAACTTCTTGTTAGAGACTGTTTGATTATCTTTAAGTATGTGATTTCTTTGCTTAATCTTGGTTTCGGGCTTTGTTTACTGTATCAATTATGTGCAAAGTATGAAAACCTCTGTGGCTGATACCACAATTCAGAATATGGATTCTAAAATAGTTGTCTGAGTAGACTTAATAGATATTGCAGCTTTATCTTCTTTTATTCTATCATGGCCTGATATATGTTTAATTCTAACATTGTGATCAATGAACTCTAATTGCTCTTGGGTATGGGTTTTAGACTTATGCACTGCATTGAAGATTATGCAACTGCATAGTGAATGGAAACAGACCAGCTTTTGGTCCATGTTCGCTGTAAGTTCCGACTTTCGAATAGAATTAGAAATTAGAGTCTTATTTCGTACTGAATTAAAATATAATTTATGAAGGTGTTCTCTTTTCTTTGTTTAAGTGTCAACAAGTTCATAAACCTTCACTGGGGTTAGCCGAAAGCTGACATCTATGTTGGTTACACGTGGTTTCATAACTTCTCCCATAGGTGTTTTTATGCTTTGTCCGAGCATTTAAAAAAAAAACTATAATCTCTTTTAGACATATCGAGATCTCCTGCAACCACTAACTCTCATTTGAGTAACGTGACTCACTCAAAGCCATCTTCTTCTATAAATAGAACGAGAGAAACCCATTTTAAACTCCAAACCAAATAGATTCTTCTTCTTCTTTCTCTAACTTAGAAAGACAATGAAGGGTTCTTGTGCAAAACCAGTGTTGTTCACTTGTGCAATCTTTCTTATTCTCATTGTTGCTCAAGAAAATAGAGTCGCTGCATTAGAGCCATGTGATCCTATGAAGTTGAGCCCATGCTTGGACACCATAACGAAAGGGTCTGAGCCATCGGAACTGTGTTGCACAAAGGTGAAGGAGCAACAGCACTGTGTCTGCCAGTACTTGAAGAACCCTAACTTCAAATCTTTCCTTAACTCACCAAACGCCAAAAAGATCGCCACTGATTGTCATTGTCCGTATCCCAAATGCTAGTCTCAGTATTTCTTTCTCATTTTTCGAAGTTCTGTTTCTTGCTTTCAAGATCCAGGAAAGCGCATCATTGATGGTTTTTCTACTACAAGTTTCTTACTCTTGAGTTTTTGGCTTTAATTAATAATGTGTTTATCATCAATGATTAAACTTACCATGTTCGAGATAATCCCACGAGTGAAATCTTGCTTCTTCTATATGTATGATTATGTTTTTAAGAAATTTCGAATAACTCCACTATCGTAAGCTAGTGAAAGGTTCCGATTTCAATGATAACATTACAAAATTAGTCCCTAAAATTGGATGCATTTTTGTCAAATTGAACCCTGATTAAAATTTTGTTTAGAGACTTGGATTATATTAGAACCGGCGATTTTAAGCTAACCGACCGATTTTATACGAACCAGTTAATATACTATGAACCGGCCAAAGGTTTATTTTCTTAAAAAAAAACAACCCTAGATTTATATTTGTTTGCCCATTATCGCCTTGTCTTCGTCTTCTTCGATCACGAGATCGAGAATCGCAGAATCTCTCAAGCTCTGAGATCTCATTCTTCTCTCCCAGACTCGACGCGGTTCTTCGTCTCCGTCGATTAATCGGTTCGTTCGTTCCCTTAAAACATTTTTCCGATCCAATGCATCTCTTGATCCCTCGGCAAGTCTCCGATTCACACTTTAGGGGTTTCCACTCTACGCACATCCATAGAGATCTGTACAAGAATAGATATTTATAACAAATAATAATAACTTGAATCGTTTCCGAAATTTGATTTTTTTTTTGTTCTGGATAAATGCTGGTGGTTTCAGAGAGTATGAATCAGGAAGCAGCTGAAACAGCGAGAGAGTCGCTGGAGCTAGTGTTTCGGATGTCCAACATCTTGGAGACGGGGCTTGATCGACATACTTTGTCTGTTCTTATAGCTCTTTGTGATATTGGTCTTAACCCTGAGGCTCTCGCTACTCTCGTCAAGGAGCTTCGCAGAGATTCTGCTACAACAACAACAGCTACGGTAGATTAATAATAAGAAGATAAGCAATTGTCATATATGCTTGTTTTTAGCAGATGAAGGATCAGTTTTTTTTCCTCTTTAAACTTCAATTTCGTTCTGCCATTGATGTGTAAATTAGGATTGGTAATGGTAAATGAATAGAGAGTTTCAGAGACAAATGGTATGTATGATCATCTTTTGCATTCTATTGTTGCCACTTCACTCTTTATTCTTGCTACCGTTTGATCAAATCGTTATAAGATCATTATAATCGACCAGTTTTCCGGTTTTTACTCGTCAAATTTGATCTACCTAGTGTGATCTCTGGAAAAGCTCGGCTTCGTTCTAACTTGTAATTCTCATCTAATTTTGGAAAGTTTAAATTCCCAACTTCGGCAAAAGAGTAAGAACTCTGAAGAGCATCTCTTGAATCAAAGTGATTTCCCTTATGATCAGCTTAGAGACACAAAGGCTACTCATCCCCACTCACTGCTTTTGAGTGGCTTTTTTTCTCTAAGTGAATCACAAAGTTACCTCGTATTCTTGGTTTCCTTCTCATAACTGAAATGCTTAGTGGAATGATAGAATATCGAAATATAAAAAATAATCACAAAATGTTCAAAACCAAGTATTTTTGAAATATTGGCTTTTTCTTTTTTAGTCAATACATATACAACATAATAAATTTTCTAAAACGTGAAAACGTTAAAATTTGTGAATGGTAAAAACAACGTTTTCATAGAACGTGAAAACGTGAACAAATGGTATACCATTCAACGAAAAATATGAGGCTAAATATTTCACACTTCTATGTACAATGATATGATCCTCATATATAGAATACAGGTTTTTTCAAGTAGTAGATTAAAACCTTATTTAGAAAGAGTCCAATCACGTCCAATGCACTATGGTATGTCTACCAATACTAACGTAGATGAGGATTTAGAAAGGGTTGATATGGTTCTGAGACGAAGATCCGGTAAAACATATATTGAATTCCGCTTGAGTCGTTATATACCCTTCGTTTACTATCTCCAAATTGTTTGTAGTTCTCTCTTGAACATATCCGTTTTGTTGAGATGATCTATTGATTTCGATGTTGTCGTAATGGCCCGCAACATATTGTTGGTCCAAATTATCACCTATATAATTTTAAAATATAGTTAGTATACTATATAATCAACGATGTTTTAGCAATTATAGAAAAACAGAAATGGTGTTTATGTCGACTATATATATTTTAAAGTACCTTGTGTCAAAAGAGCAGCCTCGTTCGCTGTTCCTTCGCCCACTTCTAACAAGTTTCCTTTTGAGTAAGCATCTCGAACTAAGTTCTTAACATAGGGCTGCAATAAAATATTAACCATAGACGAAATATAAATACATCTTCTAACAAATAATTAATTATAAATCATTGAGCTATCGATAATTGCTTTCATAACTTCTTTCAATACCTGATTCAGGGATTCTTGACTAGAGAGAACATGACCATCGATAAGTGCTTTCATGACTTCGCATATCGGGTTCAAAATCATGAAAAAATTCGGTCCTCTAGAAATGTATAACTTATTTCCCAAAATACACTCTCTAGCATGTTTCGATGTTACTTCCCACTTTTTATCAGACATTCCAGGGCCCAAAATCTGTACACAAACAAACAAATTAGCAAACCCCCCCTATTAGTTCTCTAATGATTAAAAAGTTTAGGGGTCAAATATAATAGGAATAAGATAATAATTTAAACCTGACGGAGTTCGTCGACGTCAACGACGGATAGTTTCAAAAAGTCTTGGACAGTGTTGATGTGTTTAGAGGAGAGCTTCTTGTGAAAGGCCCCATCTTTGCCTATCTTCTCTAGCCGCCACACTTCGTCTTCTAACATTGGTGGGTGATGTTTCTTGTACACTTCACCAACCACAAGTTGTACAAAACAAAACTATTTAGAATTGTATTCAATTTCTAGTTTTCTACTAGATATATATGTATCTACTTTATATATATCCGCTTTATGCATGTGTTTGTTGAACCCACTAGATTAGGATTTGCGTGTTATAAGATTCGAAAATATATAGACTATAGAGTATTTATTAATAAGATATAAGCATTGACCTAAGACTTTAGGCTATTGTATAAAGTGGCACAGTCGTTAGCACACGGTTCACATCGAAAATACTTTTAGTAGTTTTTCCCTAAGAAAAATAAAAGTGAAGTTACAAAAATTGTGTGTATATAAAGACAAAGCAACCATAATTAATATTTGTAGACAAAACATATCATGACAAGATACAACAATTTTGTTATACCCAAATATATAGTTTTATATTTCTTTACTAGTATTTAATTATAAAAACTAAGATTTAAGAATATAAAAAAGGATAAAACCAAAAACATCTAGATAGATTGATATGTTGATCAATTTTGAAAACGAAATTATGCAAGTAAAATTTTGACGAAAGTAAAATATCATTTTAATGGATTTCTGATGCACATGTGTTGCATATATAAATCAATATCTTAAGGGTATATGTATGATTGATAGTAGTAGGCTAATCCATAAGATGCCATATATGGTCAGGTCAAAGATATTTGAAACTAGTGATATGTTACTATCACATCCCTAGTGGAGTAGTGCATAATGACTAAAAGCACAAAACTCATTATATATGATGCATAGATTTATTTGTTATATATTCATAAATTTTCTAGTTAAGGTAAAATAATTAGTAATTAAGAAAAATAAACTTACATTCTCCACGATGATCTCTAACAACAATCGCTTCAGTCATCGCTTCACAAACCGTAACGCCTTGACCGCTACTCCCTTTCGCAACTTTCGCACCGATTCTAAACTTACGGCTACGAATCCAACTCGAATTATCTGTGAACTCAAGCTCTCCGATCGTTGCAACGCCGTTCCTCACCGTCACACTTACTTCTCCAGCAAGTAACGGCCGTTTCCCATCTCTTTCTTTGACGATGTTACTCTCAAACTCATCACTAGTCCATTTATCACCCGAAGGAAAATCTCCGTGAAGAGCAACGATGTCTAGTTTGATCGAACGGTCGAGATTCACCGGAATGTTTGAATCATCAACAAGGATAATCTCAAGTGGATTGTTGTCCACGTCACTGATTTTACTCCCGGTGAATATTGGTGTACTTAAGCTCTTACGGAACATTAGCTTGAATGTCGGAGTAGACTCTTCCGGAGCTTCGATACGGAAAGACGATGACCGAGAATATCGGAATCGTTTACTAATTCCATATTCCACTTCTTGTCTTACCTGGTCACGTCACCAAAACGAGTAGAGTTAATTATAATATACTCTTATCTGGTTTATATTAACAAATAATTTGATATTTTTATCACACAAATTAAACAATACTATATACTAATATATGTCTATTATATTTGTTGTTAATAGACATATTTGATTTTGTTTTGAGAATCTAAAACAACTCAATAATTCACGAAACAAAATCATGTCTAAAAAGATATTATTTTTACGTAGGCCAATATGTAGATCTTTTAAATGCTAGTAACATATATATATGTGTGCGTGTGTGTATATGTATGTGTGTGGACAATTCTTTTGTCTTTTATTTCTAGATATAGTTGATTATTGAAATGTTAGGTTAGAGAGGTCTTGTTATTAATGCTATAAAGATTTATAACTTTGTATGTATTTAGTACTATATATCTTAATGGATCATAAAGTTATGATATACTAATAAGTAATAACGTATGTGTATATATATGATATATAAGAATAATGCAACTATACATGCATATGTGTTGTACATAAAAATTATAGTATTAGCAACAGGATCGAATCTTTCTTATTTTATCAAGTTCCAACTCGAACACTAGACATCGTCAATAATAGACTCGTATATTTATTGTTACACTTGCTACTTTTAGTATGTTTAGTTGATTAATTAAACATGGTAAATATGTAACTCTAATTATTCTCAATTCCAAATTTTGAAAATATCAATAATATATCTCTACTTCTCTATATCCATGAGTTATCAGTTGTAAAGTATAGATATGCGTATGAATCTAGCGCTACTTAACATACAATATAGACGACATTAGGACATGTATTTATAAATAACAAAATAAAAGTGGAATTATAGTATACTTACAACTTTTCTAAGAACGGGCTCTAGGGCTGAAGAAAAGCTCTTAAGGGTGTTTTCTGTGATCAATGCTCCAAACACACTGGAAATTGGCCGGCAAGAAACAAAAAATAAACAAAAGTTTGTCAGTCAAGAGAACAGAAAATTCAAGAGTAGTAAGATCTAAAGAAGAAATTATTTATATGGATAAGAGAGAGGGTAAATAGAACATATACATCAAATACATATCATATGTATATATATATATGTGTGTGTGTGTATAATATGTGATAAAAAAAGGATTGAACAATGAACATGTTCCAAACAAAAATTAAGATTATAGAAATGATTCAGTATAAGAAAAAAGAATGAAATTTCTGTGAGGAAAATTACGAGGCAAGGGATGGTACAGATTTAATCCGTTTCTCGGACTTATTTTCTTGGTCGGAATCAAGATCTTGGAATAACCTCTTCCCTGCCATGGAATTGGTCTGGTGAGTTAAGAGAGCTAGAAAGAGAGGGAGGGAGAGCTTAGATCAAATCTAGGTTTTGTAATGTTTTGACATAATCTAAATACGGCAATGACATTTATATAGTTTTAGTCTTTAGTCTCACAAAAACAAAAAATAAAAAAGAAATAAAGAAAGTTCGAAGAACGACAAAGGAAACAACCTGGCAGCATCCAAAGAAGTCTACTAATCTTTTTATGGCGTCATAAATAGGGAGACTTTTGACGTCAACTCCTAGATTGAAAGCTTCCCCTGTTGACAAGTGGACGGTTCCGATCTTCTCATCCGATTTGGATTCAGATCTAACGGTTGATATAAAGCTCGATCCATATGCCACATGATTAATTCTTGTGAGAGAGCCCTACGAGTGAGAGTATACGATAGATCTGGTCCGTTCTTCAAAGAATTTTTGTTCTTTTCTTTATCTTAAGAATAATTAACACTATTTGATATCATCATATCAACATATTTATTTATGAAAAATCGGTTGTCTAAAAAATTCCTGTTTTTTTTTCTCGAACCTACTTAGAAAAATTATGAAAATCAGAGAAAAAGATAGGTTCAGATTTGTTTTCTAAAGTTTATGTCAAAAAAAAGGCAAAGTATGCAATAACCTGAACTTCTTAGTTTTGGT